GAAGTAAATCGGTTGATACAAACATTTGTTAAATTTTTCAACACGAGAATATTGTTATAATGTTGAAAAATAAAGAAATATCGAAAATTTTCTTAAGAATTTTTTTTAAAAATAAAAATAACTTGTTATTACATTTTTTAAAGATTAGAGTCCACGAAGTGGAAATTTATAATAGGTATTTTAATAAAAATTATATCCGACTTATAATCTTGTTACACATAATATATAATGCATACATACTATTCGTTAATCATAATCTTCAAAATGAAATCTGAAAAAACTAAAAGCGTATCATATAAAATCAAGTATTACAGCATATAATTCATTAAATTAAATCATTAAATTCTCATCTCACAGGATAATTATATTGAAATTGTATTGAATCGATGAGGAAAAGTTTCGACTATCTTTAATCCCAATAATATAAACATTTCAAATGATAAGCAGTACATCACTGTTCACGATAAATTCATTCTACAAGAATAATATTTTGTATTTACAAAATATTAGAAATATTATTAAAATCCTATTTTTCTAGTATAGTCGAGTAAAGTCGTGAAACCAACGAGAAGCCAGGGGAAGTCAAATTGTCGATTCCCAAAGGACGACACATCGGTTACCAAGCAGACAGTTTGAGCACGTGTTTGCAATCGTGATATTTTGTCCAATTACGCCTATCGAATGACACGGTATGGCGGCAGATGGTGGCCGAAGATAGCCTTCGATACACGATCGTGGAACGATATCGTCTCCTCATAAGCCGTTGATGGCTCGCCGCCGTATTGCAAATTGATTGGCGTTTTCATGAATAGTGGACCGCGTTTCACGCGTTTCGATCGGTTCGCTTTTATGGAATGGTTGGTCGCGTTCATAATGAAGGAACTAGTTCCCGTAATTATGCGTGGATTCACGTGGAAACACGTAAATCGACATTGATTGAGAGTTGAGTATCGATAATTGAACGGAGATTGAATAAAATTGGATGAAATTTATTTATTTTGCAAGTATTGAAAAAGCGTTGAATTTGTGCGAGTGTTACGATTTTTGAATTCTTATAATTATCGTGATGCTGAAATTATGTGGTGAAGAATAAATTTAAAACGTTTCAATTGTCTATATTTTTATTTTAATCTTCAGAGTGTTGAGAATTATTGGTTGAATAGAATTTGTTTCACTACCAAAGAAATTTAAATTGTCTTCTAAAATAGATACGAATGAATTAAATATCAAAAAATTCGTAAGAAATAATAAATTATTAAAAAAATAATAATTTCTGATTGACGAATTTTTCGATCAAATTCAGATTCCAATTCAATTTAAATATACCATTGTGGAAAATTCTCATTATCAAGAAGGCATGAAAAAGATTTAATCCTATATTTCATCCCCTCCTACGAAACTCTATTTCTACGAGTTCTCACGGCAAAAAAGTTAAACAGAATTTCGCAACAATAGTTCCCTTCGAATTACATTAATCTCCACGACCCCGCTAATGGCCGGTTGAACAGGCCAGATCATATAATGCAACGGTGGATTTTTATCCCAGGGCCCGGGAACGATTCGAGGCATACATATTTATCAGTGACAGTTTATACGGTGGAGTTAGGGCGAGGCGTAAGCTTCGAAAGCCTCGTCTGAGCGTCTGAAGCCGAGTATGCCTCGAGGGCAATGAAAATTTAAATTAGAGCAGAAATTAAATCCGGCCTTTATCCGATATTGAGAAAATCCTTTGGAACGGACAGATTGTCTGACGTCCCTCTATCCTGTACATCTTTACCCATTGCTCTCTCTCTCTGTCTCTCTCTTTTTCTATATATTGCAAGCGAGACGGTACGAGGGATTGCAGAAAGAAAAGAGGCCAGAAATACATGGAGGAAGAGAGAGAGAATGAAAGTGTCGTGCCTATCACACCCTTCATAATTAGTAATTAAGAAAGTAATTAGCATCGATCGAGACGACCTCTGCGCCAAGACGGCCGTGTTCTCAGAGCGGAACAGATATTTTTAGAGCAGCGCGCCACGACAACCGGAGCAAATCGATTATTTACGATGCTCAACGATCAAACGTTTCCTCCTTCCTCTGGCCCGAAGAATACCTTGGTAAACTTCCGTTGCGTCACGTTGAGGGGTATCGATTCGTTGGATTTTATTGATTAAGGCCGGGAAGGAATGCCGCGCCTCGAGCTTTCGACTTATCGACAGGAGTGTCGGCTTGCTATAGCCGGCGTTGACTTTTTGAACCGGAGGACTTCCGGTAATGCGAGAAGAACACTCGTCTCGCAAGGTAACACCGATCGATCGAATTCTATTCGATTTGGCGAAATTTTTGCGACACTTGTGAAATGAAAGTTTCATGTTTTGATATCGATTGAAAACGATCTTTATTAATCCTTTGAATAAGAATTTTTTAACTTCATCGAACCATTGAACTCGGCGAAGAATGGTGGTTCCATTACTATTGTTATATTAATAGCTGCTCTGGAAATCGCAATTTCTGAAACCAATTTAGCTAAGGGAATTCTGGAACAACCTGTTTTCCCGACACAGCACAAATTTCAATTGCCGATGTACGAAGCAACGTTTCCTAACTCGAACTTCAAAAGCAAGTGATACATCGAATATGTTCTTCAATGTAATCTTGTATTTTCTAACGAGATAATAATTTACAGATAATTATTCGCATCCGATTACAAAAACGAGATATTACAGATTATTATTAAATTTGAAGATTATGATTTAATCTATTGTTACGAATATCCTGCTTTTTCAATATTCGATAACGTTTTATGTTTTAATTGTTTATCGATAAATTTTATCGATGCTGTATAATATATTCAAATATTCTATATTTGATCAATCATTAAAATAATTTTCCATTCGTTGTTAATAATGTATAATAACAATTAAATTTTTTAATAATTTTTTTATTTAGTAATTAAAAGTCCTTTAAAAATAATTTCACGTTTTATAAATATTTTTATTAAAAATAATTTCATAAATTGATATTTATTTATTTAGAAATATTCTAGGAATTGTTTTTATTATTATATGTAAATATATGCATAATTTTCCATGAAATGAATTATGGTTTGTACATCGTCGCTATTTTGTTAATGAATAATAATAATATCAATAAATTTCCAATAATATTTCATAACATAAAAATATATGTGGTTTTTCAAAATCAATATTTTCATCTCAAATGAAAATAACAAAACAGAGGAGTAGATTTTCATCGTTTTAAATTTTACCATTGATTATTTTCAAAACATAACAATTCGTTGTTGTAACCCACATTATATAAAATTAAAATAAATGCTAAACTGTCTATTGTCAAATGTATTTTATAAAAATAAATTTTAAATGTACTGGATTCTCAACAATATTGAGAATCAAAAATGTATTCCTGAAAGTACTTTTCAATTCATCAAATTCAGTTAAAATTTTCAAAAGGATAAACAAAACAAAAAAAAAAAAACATTCAGCTTAACAGAAATGTCAAAGGAAATTTTTTATTTTCTCTATATGAATTTTCCTTTTTTTCGTATTAAAAAGTATTATAACAGGTATAATATTAAATAATTTTTAAATTACATTTTTCCTTCAAACATGAAATAAAAAACTAAAATTAATTCTTAACACATTATTACATAGGAACATAAATTTAAGATAAAGTTTACATTTGTATCTGATAATATCACACAATTTCGAGGGGAATATTTTATACGTTCTGACGTGCGTGTCGGTATATGAATGTCAGAATTGAACACGAGTAAAGTGAATATAAACTTCGTACAAGTTTCGACACAACAAAGAAGAATCGTTTTAGTCGTTTGCTTTTTTTTTTTTTTTGCATTGCATACGAAAAAGCGATATCGTGTGCGAAGCTCCGCTACCTGTATCCATTCGACTATCGATTGTCGAATTGAGAACTATCCGGAAACGACGATTCAGCTCTTGAATACATTTCACACGAGAGTTTCGCGATACATTGCCAGATATACACTGTATCCATGAATAATTACGTTTTGATTGCCAGCCAGCAGTTTCGTAATAATTAATCGTTGAAATCATGTGTAATAGAATACTTTGACTAACTATTCATTTTTACTTCGTTTTTGAAACGAATTCAATTGATGGAAAATTAATGGAAAATTGATTGTACGTAATTCGTACGTGATTTGACTAAAAGAATGTCAAGTATTGTAAGATTCAATATGCAATTCTGTATAAATTTGGAAATACGTTTCCTGATGTATATATATATTTTTTAAACAATGAAATTTCTTTGCTTAAACAATAATATTATTAATAGACGGATATATATATTAAAACGTTATATCAAAACATTAATCTTAATGTTAATTATAAATTAATATTATATAAATTAATCTTAAATCTTGCATGAAAATGTATTAACGATTCCCGTAACTAATATTTCATAGGCGAAAGGAAAACGTGATATTGGCACCTCATCAATTCGAAACCAATTTAGTAATGTATTAAATTATTTGCCATTAATTTACTGAATACATCGTGTGAATCAAATTTAGATCTCGTTTTATCGCGAAAATTATGAATCCCTGGCGTGAAATTAACAATTCTCCGTGACTGAATCATTATGTCCAACGTAATTAATGAAAATGTCAATCGATTCATTAGCAAAATCCGTTATCTGATGTACGTAATAATAACACTTTCACGCCCACACTTTTTACAGGGTATAATTAATCGTTTATCTTTCGGTACCATAATGATTCGAGTGTAACATTGCTATTAATTGTTTCGAAAAAATTGAGAGGGAGGGAGAATTCCATATTGAATGAAATTTTAGAACTTCTTATAAATCTTACAAAATAATAATTCATAACTTTACAAGGATAACAACATATAGATTAAATAATACGTAAATTTATTTTTATTCTTATAATTAAAATAGTTTCACTTTTCAAAATTATACTTTTATAAAATTAGAGGAAAAAATTAATAATCAAAACTCACCGTTCTCTCCATTGTAGTTTATGTTTTTTCCATCCTCTCTCCGCCACATGATGTAAGGTTCCGGATATCCTGAAGCTTTACATGTCAATGTTACGTTTGAACCTTCGCGGACAACCATGTCTGTGCTGGTTTCCTTCGTGATAATGAAAGGTGGAACTGCGAACAAAAAGGACACGCGAAAATGAATAATCGTCTTTCATATCCTTTTACAAACATTACTTTTAAGTAATGCATTAACGAGATCAATGGTAATTTAATAAGTTTACTTTTCAATTTGAAGTTGTTTATTTCTTTTTGTAGCTGATTTAGGAAATTCTAATAAATAATGTTATAACCAAGTGATAAATTCTTCATCTATTCTATATTTATATCTGTAATATTAATGATAAACTTTGCGCAGGGAGAATTTGCCTAATGGAGCGAGCAAAATCTAAATTTTGCTGTTAATTATATATACATATCGCTTCTAGAATAAACTCGACCAAAATTGATAACAATAACCGAAATCGATATCATTCTTGTTGAGTTTCGATATTTAATCCAGATAAGAGAAATGTGAATTATATTATTATTCATCGTCGCTATTATTGTTTATTATTAATCGTTGTTAAATTTAAATAATTGGATTATATTAATAATCAAATAATATTCGAAACGTCAAATAATTAAAATGTACAAATATTTTTCAATACAAAATATTTCTGGTAATTTTTATCTTTGAATATATTGAAAATTATTAGAATAATTTTGGAATTTTATTTCATAAAACTTTACTGTAATTAATAATTAAATTTCTATTTCGATATTTTTTTAATATGAATGATAAATAGTGAATGTTCCATAAAACTATATTATTTTTGAAAAAAAAAAAACATTTCATTGATATTTCTAAATTGTATTTTTATAATTAAAAAGGAATATGATTAAAAAAATTTATTTTAATTTCGAAAATTAAACGTATGCAAATATTGAATATACCAAAGTCAATTTTCGAAACTTGGATAACTTTCCTTCCAAATTCACCTTTTTATGATAATATAAAAAAATAGCATTCCTAATACCTTTTAACTTGAGGCTAGTTTCTCGCTAATCTTGTGGAAGCTTAAGTACTTTGCTTGTTGATTGAATATCGGAAGCCTGATGACTCCTAACCCAGTTTAACAACTAACTGGAAACCTAATTGCTTCAAAGACTAACTGAATCGAGCTGACTAATGCCGGTCCCTTAATTGCTTTTACGGTGTTTAAACGTTACGTTTCTGACAAATTTTTAATTACTTCCATATATCATTTTTTTTTCACAAATAATACGTTCTGTAATGTAACATAATAACCCAACGTTTTTATGTCATGAATATTATTCAAAATCATTCCACGTTCTTTCTTCAAAATTCTTGAAAATTTACTATATTAAAAAAAAAGAAGAAAGAACAAAATTTTTGTTCTTCCAGCGATAGATCTTAGATCTTTTTGTATATCTATTTTGAAATAGAATTTTTTTTTAACGATATTTCACATATAAACGTGCTTACCTACAACCTGCAAATAACCCTGTCGACTTCTCATCGGGTCTGTGTTCACCTGACACATGTACCATCCACGATCCACTTCTTCAACTTTTTTTATATGAAGATACCATGTACGGTGATCGTTATAGGACAACGAGATCCGTGGATTTTGCGTGATGACATTATGGTGGATGGATAAGATAGTCTGCGTATCGACGCGCACCCATGCCACCTAGAACAAACATATATGAATATATATATATAAAGTTTGCATAAGATAAACGATGTGGATAAATTATCAATGGAAAATTCCTTACTGTAATAAATAAAGATAGATAAAGATAGAAATTCATTATCTATTTAATAATATATAAAATTATTAAAATATTCTTTTAAATATCACATATTTAATATATTAGAAATAATTAATATTGTAGTGTTAATACTTATAAAATTAAAATTAATATTAAAGTAATAAATTAAAAATTTTTATTTGTATAAACTTTAATAAAGTATGAAATCAATATCTATTAATGATCATTTAATATCGTAATATTTATAGAGAATATATAATAAATATTCTAAGACTTTTTAAAATTGTTTTTGTTGAATTCTAAATTAAAAATTGATAGAAGTATTACGTTAAGGAAACGGATTAGAAGAGAAATTTAATTAAGAATTTAATATAACTATTGTTTCAACGAGTTTATATAATATTTAACATTTAACATTTCACCAGGAAAATATTGCTGAGGAAAATGGAAACTCGTAATGGGAGTAAACTCGCGGAAAGTTATACATACTTTATAGGGAAAACCATTTATCTTCGTCACTTGAATATCAGCTTCATTACTTAGGTTATTAAAAAATTTTCTTGCCAGAGATATTTAAACGTCATTTTCAGTCATTTTTCTTGACTCTATTAAATTTTTTAACAATCTCTACGCAACAGTTCCTCAATGTATTTTAATTATTGTTCAAAGAAGATGGAAGGCACTTCAAGTATAAAGAAGTTTCAAAGACTATTCTTATTTAATAACATGGCTTAGAAGGAACGTAATTAAAAGTGGTTTCCTCTAAAAGATGAAAAATATTGAAAATATAAACTTCTATATACACTCTCACAAGTTATATTGGTAAGAATATAATACAATTTCGATACGATATATCGAAAAATGGAAAGTATGAATTTTAATCTAGTTTCAAAAATTATTTATATATTTCATTAAAATATTTTTAATATTTCAGATCAATAATCGTTGATTTGACGTCGTCTCGTCGCATATCGTGCACGTTCCGTAAGAAGCTTTGCCGCTAATAATCAAACACGATTCGTGGAAATGCAGAGGAAAGGCTTAGCATAAGCAGTGAGTGTTCGTGGAATAGCAACACGGAGATTTGTTACGCGAGATTAGTATGAGGAATATCATACGGATTACACAAACAACATAATGCCAACTTGGATAATGATTATTTCAAATTCAGAGGTAAAGAATATCAAGATTAGCTTAAATTCTCTTTATTACAAATTGGAATTATTATACAATTATTTGCTATTTTTAAAAAAATCTTTAACAATCTTTGCTTCACTTTTTATAGATAATTGTTACGCTTCGTTATAATATTTTACCTCGTGAACATTGAAAAGAAAATTGATTTTAAAAACAGGAAAGAGATTATAGAAAACGAAGAAAATGATTAACGAAGTTTCTTATTACGTTCGACGTCGACATGTTGGTATTTTCTTTAACGCAATATTTTGTAGGTTACAATATTACCAAGAAAATCGAGGTTTAATAGAGCTTAATTGTTTCACTTAGCTACCCTTCATAAAAGTACGTATAAAAATATTCTACAAAATATCTTTCACGCTATGAAATTCTATATGATATCAAATTTTACATCAATATCTGTATATTCTTTTAGTTTTATCATTTCAATCTGCATAAATTTCAAGTTCGGAATTTTATTATTAAAAATATGCCATCGATAACGGGGAATGAAGTTGGCGGATAATTTTGGGTTATCGAATATTAAAATCGAATTCCCCGTATTAATTCCAATTAATCTCTTTACACAATTATACATCGAAGCTCGAAAATTGATGAAGTTGAAGAAGTTGAGAGAGATAAAGTTTTTCCAAAGCATAATTCCGTCTATAGAATCGTTCATGCGTACATTCTACCATCTATACGATCCGTGATGTTTCCCTTTGCGGAGCTTTGGACACCCTATACAACATCGTTTCGTTCTTATCGCCCGCTTAATCCAATATACCGGCTGCCTTGTATTCCGTATCCTCCGTGGATCTTCGAAACTTTCACAGAATAGAAGGGGAATAGAAGGGTAAGTATAAGAAGGCTTAGAATCTACCCCATTTTCTTTCGTTCGTCGCTAAGCCTCCAATGTGACCGAGATCTCTTGAGGATAGATGAAAATACGATGAAACTCTATGGGAGCTTCACATTGCGATATTGGATATTTGTTAACATGCACGAAGAGTTATATATAAGGGTTCGATTAAAATATGTAAATGAAAGATGCATGGAGATATTTTGCTACATTTATCTTCCGTCCATTCAATGGATTGTTTAAGAGAAATATTTCGATAAAGATTTGAAAGACTTCGATTCGATCGAATATTCTTTATTGATGATCTAATAATATGATAATAATTTTAATAATAAATCGAGAATGAATTTTCTATTCATCGTTTATCAATAAATAAATTTGATATCGATGGAATCATAACAGTATTTTATAATGATCGTTAAAAAAATAAAAGGTGGCATGATATGAAAATAATTTAAGAGATAGACTGTAACAAGGCACGTTGGAATTGAGCATAATTTAATGTCATTGGACAACACATTGCCGACTTAAACTTGAACATCCTCCGTAATTAATAACTGGTGGGTAATTACGAAAGTAGATGCTACAACTTTTGAACATTTAAGGTTATTTGGGGATGAACATTTACTGCACTATTCGACACTTTCCTACTTTCATCTCATAATGCCTTCACTTTGGTCGTATACATAAGTATGTACATTGACCTGCATATACCAGGCACACAGATTGCACTGTAGAGAGAGGGTGGAAAGTTTGGGGAAAGTGGAATGAGAAACCTGCGAGTAAAATAATATAAATAGGTGATGAAGACGGCAAGAATAGCTTTTCGGTGGCTGAGATACGTGTGGAGTTAAGAAAATAGAAGTTATATTCGTTTTAACATCAAATTGGATAAAATGTCGTCGAACGACCGAAACTTGAAATTTCATTTCAGAAGATAAAGAAAGTATGTAACATAGAAGCAATACCATATACGTCTTAATTTATATACAGTATAAAATGATAGTGATTCGTATAATTTTCGTCAAATTTCTTCAGAAACAAATAATTGATCAAATTGAATATTTAAAAGAAATTAAATTCGAGATCACTTTAATTTTTCTAAATATTGGATTTTCACTCAATACGTAATTGATGTTTCGTTGATTTATATACTATGATCTTGAAATAATCTTGAACTAAGTATGTATAAAAAAGTATATATTAAAGAAAAATTCTCTTGAAAATTTTTAATATAGCAATTCATAATTGCTATTATGATTTGGTTAAAATTTGTCCAGAATATTTTTTCTCAAATTATTTAAAATAAAAAAAATATTCGAATAAGACATTTAGTATTTACACAATTTATAAAAATTATACCATTCACTGGATTACAGTCTGGATATAGAGTGTAAAATTAAAAAAAAAATTACCAAGTTTCCCAATAAAATAATGTCGACATCAAAAAATTCCAATTATCCATATCAAGTTGTCAAACTTGCTTTAATTAAAATTAAAAAATTTAAAAAAGTAATTGAAAATTGAAGAACGTATCACGCGTTACGTTTCACGAAAAATTATTAATCCACCAGACACCACGTGGAAAATTACGATATTCCAGCCGCGTTAAGAAGCGGGCCAGCGATAATTTTTCCGCAGGAGCGTGTTTCCTGTTCCCTGCTAGCCCTGTCTGGGGAATATCAACCCCCGTTGGCGGCCGTTGGTAGCACGAGGCACGATGCTTCTTTACGGTTGCAGACTATGCCCGGATCGGCCGAGAGGGATCGTGTGAACCGGCGTCGTTACCATATTACTTTAATAATTCAACGTGACACTAGCCGTGATGTATTTCCATTGGCGTAACGAACGAGGCAGCCGGTTGAAGCTGACGTTGTTGCGAGTCACGGCTAGAATTACTCGCTCCGCTTCGCTCGCTTGTCTTCGCGTGCGAAATTCTCAAGCGGAGCGTAAAAAAGCTTTGCCTAATAACGAACTTCCTCGAGACGGTTATTTGTGCGTGGATAGAGGATCGTTTGACTGGATACCGGGGCGGTGTTTGTCAAGATAACAGGGTGTGTAACGAGGATGCTGGACCAAGGCTATCACTCTGGTGGAAAGTTCAATTAATCTGGTGGCGCGAATCTAATTGATCTTCATCTTTGACAAAAATTGTATCGTTGTTTCTTTATTTACTTACTATTTATTTATTTCAGGATTGTGCTTCTGTTCTTCTGCAAATGTTGGGGAGGAAAACGTTGGATACGAGGTTCACAAATATTGACGAGATTCACAAGAGAGGTTCACAAATGTACATTTACATCTTCTAACTTTTTTTTTATTTCTGCCTGGAATTGGAAGTTTTAAGTAAGTGTTAAAATAAATACCGAATTTTCATCTGGTTTAAAGCATCGTGAATCCGAGAGAATTAATCTTATCGTGGAAAAGTTTTATCTTATTTTTCAGGTAATATACATAAAAATCGCACATTTCTGTTCACCTTTCTGCTCAGTTTTATCTAAAAAATGCTCGCATAAAACGAAAATTATTGCTTCCCAAGCTACGTGTTATACAAACGAAACAACTATAATGAAACTATTTTATTCTTGTTTTTACAAGTCACGTTCTTTCAGCGTAATTTTCCTATTGTGAAAATGGAGCACCGTAATTTCGAAACTGAAAATGGCTGAAAAGACCTCTCTAAACGTGATACTTAAAACGTACTGAACAGGTTAACGCTATAATTGTCTCATTTTCTTAAAAACATTAGGCGATTCCATTAATTACACTTCAAATTAAATATTCTCGATTCAAGTTTAAAAAATATTCAAATTTGTGTTACGTACACAATGTTTGTTATTAATTTCTTCAAAATTGTGAAAATATTTAAAATATCGAGTTTCGAAACTATCGTAATAAATTATCGTACATGAGAAATTAAATAATCTTTCTTCCTTACTTTAAAGTTTCGTAGATTGTCCACTATACAGGCTAACAAAGCATCTCGACCTTTGCTCACGGTCACGTTCTGGATTTCTTCAGCGAATCTGGGCAGGTCTGAGTCTGGAAAATAAATTTAAAAAATTTGTTTCTTACATGTTTGTAGAAAAATCAATTTTTTTAAAACATAAAAATATTTAATAATTACTTAGCAAAGAAAAAATTTCACTCTCTTTTCAATTTACTTTCACTGTTATATTTTAGCATTTAATTTTTTCTTATTTTCTTTTCATTTTTTCTCGTTCATTTGGTCTCATATATAACCATATCCTTCACATTTAATAATTATTACATGAAAATAAATTTCACCACTTCATATATAACATATTATGAATTAATTACATTTTCTCTACAAATACAAAATTTTATTACACAAAAATATTTCTATTTCATGAGAAATCAATTATTTAGTGATGTAATAATTTTTAAAAATGTTTAATATTTTTTTAAATCTTCTTTTTTTTTTTTTTTTTTTTGAAAAATAAGTTTAGTCGAGAATTGTATATCGAGAATTGTACGCGTGTACTCGATGAATTTTCCAATCTTCAAAACAAGTTTTTAAATGAAAACATTTTATTTTATATTTTTAGCTTATTTTTGAATATCCATTCGTACCTAGTAACAAAATAATTTAATTGTTAAATTCTCGTGTACTTGACAAATTTTTAAACATGATTTTCTCGAAAAAATAATCGACAATGAAAAAATATTATTGCTTTATTTGTTTTACGATTTATTTTTATATTCAAAACCACCTCGTGTAATATACATTAGGATGATTGAAATTCATGTGCACTTAACAAGTTTCAAATTTAATTTCCATAAAAATAAAGGTTAAAAAATTCTACTATTTCTTCCCGATTTATTTTCAAATATATATACCCTGTTCGAGCGTTCATCCACATCTGTGGATTCAAAAATTAACCAATTTCATTCATCCTATTGTACGTATTCGACATAATTTTTCAATTACTTTTTTTTTTCCAAAACAAAAAAATTCTTCTACGCCTTTTCACCCTTACATATCAAATTATCTCGCAATGCTGAATATTCACGTAGTTGATCTATTATAAAAACAAAATCTCTCGTCTCTCAAAACCGAGATAACATTTCTCCGTGGCGCGTATCAAAACAACGTTTCGTTCAAACCGCATCAAATTTCAAATGGACCACGGCTCCTCATCGGGTGAAACGTGCATAAATACCGTGTATCGTTGGACAATGAAACCGAGATTTCGAGTTATTATCGTGAGAGGGGCATAACGAGTTCAGGATTGAACGTAGGGCCGCCCTTAAAAGCTTTTACCTTCGTTAATGTCTTTACGACGTCTCGAGCATCTGAATTATTTATGGCCGCAAAGAGAACCCAATGGAGAACGAGAAATCGTGGTAGACACGACGAAACGAGAGCGAGGGTGAGAATGGAGAGCGGATAGGGTGGTTGTGGATAAGAACGAGTTACTTTCAGCTCTTTTCAAACGGACGTGAAACGAGGGACGCCGTTAATTACATCTGTCATACTTTATTATGACTGCGGTACGCCACGTTAATTATGACACCTGCAACGCGAGTACACCGGAAATAAAAGGAGAAAGAAAGAAAAAAAGAAGAGGAATAATTCGTGTAATTTATGTCGGGCATATGTTTGTACAAATTGCGGTGTTATTATCTTCCTTTATAACGCCCTCACTGATGAGATATAAATAGAATTGTCGTTTCAACGAGGGATGATTCTGTTCCTCGAGACCTTGGTGAGAAGATCGATATCGATATCGGAATCGATTCATCGGTCTCACAATGAGTTCAAGAAATTATTTTAAGATCTTGTGATAAATATATCTTGAAGATTGGAAGTTCTACTTTAATTTGCTTTAATACTAAAATTTGTATGTATTATATTATATAGTTTTTTGTTTATTGTTTTTTTTTGTTGAATAGATTCAGATATAGATTCTAATATTCAATTTTCTCTAAACAAATAAATAAATTTACTTTCTTTCTTTATGTCACGAGAAAAAAATAGAGTTTGAAAGTGAACAATTTATTTATTTATTGAAAATTTTATTTGATTTATTATTTTTCTAATTAGATATAGTTTTTAGAGGCTTTCGTCTGTAGAATAATTAATTTATCTTAGTTAATATCATTTTTTAATTTCTTATTATCATTATTTTTATTTAAAAAATTCAAAATACGAAATAATTAATTTTTTTATTTTATTTCAGGTGTGAAATTTTCGAAGGCTGTTATCAATAAACAAGAAGATTAATTTGATCATACTAAATAGCTGTAAATATCCATTAGACTTGAAAATGTTTGAAAAAAGAACTTTTCAATAAGTGAATTTAAAATAATTGAATAATCGATTAACCAGAAATAACTGGATTCTAAATATAAAACGTACAATCCTATTATAGCATTTCGATTCAATGTTTTCTTCTCAATAACAAAATATCCGAATTGACGAAAACGAAGCACCATCGAATTTGCTATTCTTTCGAAAGCATTCTTCATAAAATCAACAGGTTTTCTATTCTAACTGGCACAATACGCGTACCATTGAGACTTCGAATCGATATTTTCAATTCATCAACGTGGCCACCTCCTGTTTCGTAGATCTCCTTTCGGCCGATGCATACGCTTTCACGCACATGGAACATCGATGCACAGAGTTCTTTCAATCACGAGAGATGAACAAGTTCATTTGTAATTTCGCCTATGTATACTGCGCCAATATTGAAAATCATTTTTCAACCAGGATAAGTGTGCGTGTTTGCCCGTTTAGGGAAATGCGAAAGTGGAAAATGAAAGGAAAAATGAAAATTCCATTTCTTTTGTGATTAAATATTCTTCAAAGGGAACGTTCTCTGTGAGATTATACACTTTTTGATGAGTTTTCAATTTTTTTAATAGTAGTTAACACACGTGAAATTAAATAAGAATATTTTTAGAATAATTAATTTCGTTTCTTTTGTTGTACAATATTTGAAATATTGTTTGTTGAATGTTCCTATTTGTTGAATGTTCCCGTTGTAATTAAAGAATATATCTAATATATGCAAATTTCAGGTACTGGGACCACTGAATATTATATAGAAGATGATGTTTACACCTCCATCTTAATTATTACTGACACGATTAACTCTATCGATTGGTTATTAACTATAATTTATGGTAGCAAACTACTTAGTAAGATGACCTATTTGAGTTGGATTAACGACTATCAAGGGAACTGTGCAAGATGATGTACATCAATTTTGGCGAAATTACAGAGAGAAATAGAGAATTTACATTTTCATTTCTCAACTTCTGGTTTTAATTACCATTGGTAATACATTTATTACGTACAAGATTTATAATCTTATGACTCGTAACCTAAATTACACCTTTGCAGCTCTGCTATTAGCCTCAACATCAGAGCAGCATATATTTTTAATCCATAGAGACGTTGAAGGAACAGCAGAGAATATATCGAAAATCGAAATTATCCAATTATTTCGATAATATTCACCTATCAATATGAGAAATAGCGTATTTGCAACGAAAACAGAACGTCTGTGTTCCAATTTAATCGTACATTTAGTCACCACTACACTATATTAAATCGAAATGATACAAAGGTTTATGGAAAATTCGAGCTCAGTTCGGACTATTAACATTTCTATCCCGTATTATCGAGAAGCCGAAATGTAATATTTCGAAGCGTGTAATTAAAATTTCGAGCATAACAAATTTACACTAAAAACATGTCGTACGAAACGCTTTCGAAACTGATTAAAATTATATTAAAATTATTAAAATTGATGTAAAATAAAACATTTCCTTCTCGCGAATTCTAATTTTTCTCCGCTTAATTGCTAAGCTGCAATCGCGAAGGTTATGGTGCTCCGTTTAATCCCTTTGTGCCTTCACCCACAAGGGTTGAACAATAAGGTTAAAATATTACGTTACATACACTAGCGCTGGCATTATGCAAAGAGGAAGAGAATCACAGAATTGTGGTAATATCACGTTACTGTTCTTCCGTAACGAGTTAATTAAGACAACTGTCGCGAACCTCTCCTACGCTTTGCACAGCTACACTGTATTTTTTCGAAATTATTGCAGACAGTGCAATTATAAAATTCTGTCCGCCAGCACTAATAGCAGCCACTTTTCCAATCCATTGCTCGAATTTAAATAATAAAGATCCACGCGTCCATACAACAATCCTTTCATTTCCCCCCCTTTGAACCGTCACGCAGAATTCAATGTAACAGCGAAACGAAGCGAATAAGCAAAATATCGTGAATGGCTCGCTCGATCGTTTCTATTTGTTAACGATATCGTAATGAAAATCTTGAATGAACATCGTTTTTAATAATATCACGGATAAAGTCGATTTCACGCTGAAACTTCGTCAAGGAGGAGGAGACTGTGATGTGAAAGGAATTACATTATTATATTGAAAGGAAGAGAGAGAGAGAAAGAGAGAGAGAGAGAGAAGTGAATGAAAATTTGCGACAAACGTGCATCCACGTGGATATATTCGTGGATGAATACATTCGAATGGATTGATTAAACATAGCCACTTATGAATCGGGATATTTTTGGCACGAAAATTCCATCAAGACTTTACTTTTACATCCCCCTTCTCCTGTTATCCCTGTTACGTGCCAAAAAGGATGGATAATTAACGGGGGCTGCAGCGGCATCTTTCATCGACGCACAATGCGGTAATGATCGTACGCCCGGGGATTGGCTGCGGTGGCGGCCAGAATTCGTAAACACGTTTCCTGGAAGTTGTTATCAAGTTGATTAACAGGCCTTGATTAAGGTAAATCTGTGTACACGTTATATTTCGCGGCGACAATGCTCGTTCGATGAATGGGGGGAGGGTTGCGTCGCGTCGCGGAATAAAGTAAACGGTATAGCTCGACGATGGCTGCGATATAACGATGCGATTGATGATAATTATGCTTTCATTGAAATTTGATTTTCTCGTTAAAAATGGAAGATTAAAAGAAAGAAGGGGAGAGGGAGATTTTATTTAAGTTTATTTATCTTTCTTAATTGTTTATAGA